AGGTTTTGAAGAGGCAATTTTTTTTAAAAAGTAGGTAGGTAGATAGAGGGATAGAGAGTGAGAGAAAGAAAGAGAAATACAGTAGGTAGGTAGGTAGGTAGGTAGGTAGGTAGGTAGGTAGGTAGGTAGGTAGGTAGGTAGAGTGGGTAGGTAGGTTGGTTGGTAGGTAAAGGGATAGAGAGAGAGAAATAGAAAGAGAGAGAGAAATATAGTAGATAGGTAGGGAGAGAGAGAGAGTAGGTAGGTAGGTAGGTAGAGGGATAGAGAGAGAGAAATAGAAAGAGAGAGATAGAAATAAAGTAGGTAAGGAGGGGGAGAGAGAGAGAGAGTAGGTAGGTAGGTAGATGTTTCCAGGTGTACTTATCCATGTGCTGGAGAAGGAAATCACTGACAAACCTTAAGACTTTGTTTCTGCTGGTACAGCACTTGATCAATGTAATTCTCATCAGTTAAAAAGCTTTCCGAAAAGGGGGAAAAAAGTTTTTGCACTCTGCAAACCTCCGAAAACCTCCATTTTTTTTNTGCCTTTGTTACATTTGTGTTGTATTTGTGCTGATAAATAAATAAAGGGAGACTAGTATAGATCTATTTGAAGCTATTTAGCTCTCATCAGCTAGTCATACCCTTACCTGTGGCTTAATGGTTCAGACATCTGCCTAAGATGTAATACAGCACAGGTTCGAATCCCAGTGTTCTCATCACGCCATTCAATCCGGTGAGCAATAGACAGACCGAGCGAATGTTGAGGCTCACAAAAGAAACCCTCACCCGGATGGGACCAGGAAGCTGGCAGGAAAAGGTTGACCAATTCCTTTTCACCGAACACATCACACACACACACCCATGCGACCACCAACAAAAGCCCAGCAGAGCTGTTGCTGGGGAGAAGACTGAGGTCCAGACTTGACCGGTACCACCCGGACTATCTTCCAGAGAACCCCCTGGATTCCGCTCAACCAACCTGGGAGTTCAACATAAATGACCAGGTACTCGCCCACAACTATGTCGGGTACCCGACTTGGCTGGGGGGCTGAATCGTGGCCGTCACTGGGCCGAAGTCATACCGAGTAGAGCTAGAGGACGGACAAATCTGGAGGAGGCACATCAACCAACTCCGACACTGCCTGGGGGACGTTGAACTGAGGAACCATGGTGATTGGACCACACCCGCCAACTCAGAATAACTCCCGGAGAACCCCAGGTCTCCGCCCAGTGGAGCATGCTCAATAGCCAGCTGGGAAGCAGACGGGTGGGAACCGGCCCCACCAAGCGAAGAGATCGAGGGATGACCGTCCAACCCGAGCTGTGAACACATATTTGCGCCTGAAGCCATCCCGTGAAGAAATGGTGTCTCAGGAGCCAAAGGAACCAGGCCGCAGCTCGACTTGCGGGCCGAGGAGCTCCTGAAGGTTCCTTCCCAGGCAGCCGGAGGAAGAGCAGGCTCAACCGCACCGGCCAAGCTCCCAGGGGCAAGTGATCTGTGCAGGTCAAGTAGGAGACCGGCGTGCCCCACCTACCTGAAAGACTATGTCACCTACGTAGGCCAGGGATTGGACATTGTTCATTCTAGGAGGGGAGGGGTGTTATGTACGGACGTACATTGTTAAATTTACATGTTTTCACATGCTCACTGGGGATTGGTTGCCCAAACCCCCGGAAGTTTAAGCAACTGTCATTGGCCAGCTGGTCTGCTGGAGCTCCTTAAAAGGCGAGCTCCGGCAGCCCAGCCAGCAGAGCCCAGTCACTTGCTCTTGAAATAAAAAGTGCTGAAACTCACTCGCGCCTCTCGCCTGCTGCTTCTCACCAATCTAACAATCACCTTGCATGCCGCTCTGGCTGAAGAGTCACAGCCCAATTTTGCTTTTGAATGGAGGGACACTGAAACTGGCGTTGCCTCCCAGTATACCTGGACCTGACTGCCACAGTGATTCAAAAACAGCCCAACCATTTTTGGACAGTGCTTGGCAGCTGATTTATATAAGCCTGAGGGGTGAGAGAGTATTCCCTGTTGCAATATGTGGATGCTTTGTTGCTGGGGGCAAGCACCAGAGAACAATGTGTGCAGGGGACTGTGGACTTGTTAAATTGGCTGGGGACTTGTGGCTACCGTGTGTCGGCTGAAAGGGTACAGATTGCTCAGAAGGAGGTAAAATATCTGGGTTATGGTGTTTCGCAAGGGCAATGGACTTTATTAGCCACCAGAAGGGAAAAATCTGTAGGTTGAAACCACCTGAAAACAGACGGCAATTGAAAGGATTTCTGGGGATGGCTGGCTTTTGTAGGATTTGGGTCCCTAATTTTGGCTTCATGGCCAAACGTCTTTATGAGGCATCGAGAGGAAGTGACCAGGAGGTGTTTGAATGGGCAAGGGAGTGCCAGAATGCTTTCAATGACATTAAGCAGGATCTCACAAGAGTTCCTGCCCTGGGACTGCCAAACTCATCCAAGCCCTTCATGTTGTTTGTCCATGAGCGAAAGGAAATTGCTGCTGGGGTCCTAACTCAAAAATTAGGTTCCTGGCACAGACCAGTGGCTTATTTCAGCAAGCAGATTAACACAGTGGCCTTGGGCTGGCCAGCATGCCTGAGGGCCGTGGCAGGCACGGCACTCTTAGTGGAAGAAGCCCAGAAGCTGACTCTGGGTCAAGAACTGATAGTTAAGGTCCCACATGGGGGAGTGAAAGGAGCATATTGGATGACTGGTGGCAGACAGGCTAAATACTAGACTATTTTGTTGGATGCACCGGCAGTAACTTTAGAAGTTTGTAATACTTTAAACACAGCCACCCTACTGCCACAAGTGGACTCAGAAGTGCAATATGATTGTGTGGAGGTCATAGATTCAGTCTATTCAAGTCGACCTGATTTGTCACATGAACCACTAGAAAATGCAGATTGCGAGTGGTTCACCGATGGCAGTAGTTTTGTCCAGAATGGTGTCCACAAGGCTGGTTATTCAGTGATCACACCCTGCAAGATAGTTGAATCAGAACCCCTTCCCCCAAGTACATCTGTACAACTGGCTGAAATCACGGCCTTAACAAGGGCCCTCCAGTTGGCAAAAGGGTTAATGTCTACACAGACAGTAAATATGCATTTGGAGTTTTACATGCTCATGGGGCTATTTGGAAAGAAAGGGGTATGCTCACTGCCCAGGAAGGGTGGGGCAATAAAACATGGGCCCCAGATCATACAATTACTGGAAGCTGTGCACTTTCCTGAAGAGGTTGCAGTCATGCATGTCAGGGGTCATTCCAATGAAGACACCTTGGTGGCAAAGGGAAATAGGGCAGCAGACAAGGCAGCAAAAGAGGCCGCTTAGCTGGCCCCTGCACAGGTCTGTTCCCTGATTCCCTATTAGTTGGACAAAATTCCTGTCTAAACCATCCTATACTAAGGAGGAAGAAAAATGGGCTCAAGAACTGGGAGCCACTTGGTCCCAAGATGCGTGGTGGAAGTTAGGACAAAGTGTGGTGGTGCCTAAGGTTTCTCTAAGAGCTTTGCTGACCCAATTACACAAAAACACACACTGGGGGACTAAAGCACTCGCTGATTTTGCCACACAATACATGCTGGCAAAAGGCACATATGCTATCCCTAACCAAGTTGCTGCAGCCTGTCTCTGTTGTGCACAAAACAACCCAAAGACAGCACAGAAACCTCCTTTGGGAGTCCTTCTACAGGGCTCATACCCAGGTGCTATGTGGCAAATAGATTTCACCAAATTTCCCTGGAAACTGGGATTTAGATATCTCTTGGTTTTGGTGTGTACTTTTTCTGGGTGGGCTGAGGCTTTTCCATGCCATACAAACAAGGCTAAACAAGTAGCATGCATATTACTGAAAGACATTGTGCCAAGATTTTGGGTGCCTTTGTATATCTCCTCAGATTCTGGCCCACACGTCACAGCACAGGGGACACAAACTGTTTCCCAGGCTCTTGGAATCAAGTGGAAGCTTCACGCTGTTTATTCCCCACAGAGTAGTGGTTTTGTTGAAAAATGTAATGACTTGATTAAATGACAGTTATCCAAACTCTGTCAGGAAGCCCACCTGCACTGGCCACAGGCCATTCCCATAGCATTGTTACAGCTCAGAACTGCCCCACGAAAACTTAGTAGCCTTAGCCCCTTGGAACTTCTGTATGGACATGCATATCCATTCGATAGAATAGCTGGGGAGTTTATGTATTTGGTGGTGGAGGAAACCCTCCATCAATATGTGAGCCAGCTCGCTGGGGTTGTGGATTCTCTTTCTCGTTACATGCAGGAAAACAAACCCTTGGGCCTAGACCATCCAGGAGACAGGGTCCTAGTGAAATTGTGGAGGCTCAATTCCCCGCTCCAGGAGAAATGGAAAGGCCCAGTGTTGCTGACCACATATCCATCATTCCCACGTAAAGAAGTGCCCAGACAGGATTATGGGGAGA